CTGCCTTGAGTTGGCCCCTACCTAGACTTGAACGTCTTCTTTTATAACCGCCTCCTTCCTCGTCTTACCTTCTGTCCTTCAGCCTTCTTGGACAAGGTTGCCAATCAGACACGCACTCATCCTGATCTGTATCTACCCACCCACTCCTCTCGCTCACAAACCCGCTTGCGTCCTGGCCAGACACCCTTCAACCCCCCTGGCCTCGCAGCTCCTCATTGCGTCTTGCTCCAACGCCCTGTCTCCCTGTATATACCGAACCCTGGCGTCCAACATAGCCTGGGGCAAATCGATAAAGGAGCGGGAAGCGGCCATGGCCATGCCAGCCATGGACCTCACACCCCCATCTTTAACACGCTCACCGGCATCTCCAGCTTATACCTGTTGCCCATCGGAGCGCTCCTCGTCAGACTACCCATCTCCAGATCTGACGGCTCAGCAGTGCAAAATCACCTCCTTGTACGCTGCCGGCCAACTATACTCTGCCGATCTGGCTGCCGATGCCGACATTTCTTTACCGCCTCTGGATCTCCGAACGACAGCTGACTGGGTCCCGTTAAGCGCCATGGCGCCATCGTCCTCGTCCTTTTCCATCCAGAACGTCTTGTCAGAGTACGACCAGTTTGCCGACTACGAGCCTCCGATGCCAGTATCGTACGAATCCGAAGCGTTCCAGCCGCATTCCCAAACATCCGGTCCAGGTCATCACGGGCATCCTCTCACAGACTCGCCCGAGCACTCGCCTGGACCCTTATCCCCAAGGAGCCCCACCTCCTATGCGCAGGGTGAGCATACGTCGAGGTCGTTGGGCCCACGGATCAAGATGGAAAACGTTAACGACTACGGTTCCGGGATCGACGCCTCGAACTATGCCTCTCCGAGGTCAATGCACACGCCGTACATGGCAGATCCAGGCCCATACGGCAGTTCGCATCATCATTACTTGTCGGATACCCAGTCTTCAGGCTGGCCCAAGGTGGAATATGGTGCCGAACAATACTACCAGAACCCACCGGCAGGCGAACCAGCTCCCTTAAGCCAAGCGGCAAAGCGGGCAGAGAATATGAAGCAGAACCGCCCGAGGCGGGCGCCGCGGAAGATGACGTCCTTTGCGGATGCCCAGTACAAGTGTCAATTCAAAGGGTGTGACAAGCTTTTCAGCCGCAGCTACAACTACAAGGCACATTTGGATACACATGACGAGAAGCGGGAGTACCCTTTCCCCTGTCCTGTAGCCGACTGCAACAAGCGGTTTGTGCGAAAGACGGATCTTCAGAGACACAACCAGAGCGTCCACATGAAGGAGAAGAACCACAGGTGCGACTACTGTGGGCGACTCTTCGCTCGCAAGGACACACTTCGCAGGTAAGTCAAAACAGCGCGCAGCGATGTTGGCTCTCCATGAAACCTCGTAATGACCTCGATTCCAGACACATGGAGGACGGATGCTCCAAACGCTTCGATGTCGGCACCTGCGACCTTCGCGTCGATGCGTACGATGGCATGGGGTCAGTCAGCCGCAGCATGGGAGCGCTGATGCATCATCCCATGGGACCGGGCTCCGGTCCTCTCCCGCCTATTACCATGTCCATGTCAATGAGCAGCGGCAGCGGCCTATTGCACCCCGGATCTTCAGCAAGCAAAGGGAGGGGCGCTATGTCGGGCACAAGCGACGGAGCACATGGCGATAACTGGCAACGGTGACTGGACGATGCTCTTGGCACACTCGGATTGATTAAGGCTAGAATGAAGCGCGACGAGACATATTATGTGCAGGATATAGGGGACTGGTGGGCTTGTCCCACGTACATGACATGTATCACCAACCGGAGCGGCTTGGGAGGGTTCGATTTGCATGCGCAAGAACATTGACCACGTAGATATCTGGCCTGGGGGCGTTAGAACACCGGAAGTAGGGCGCGGCAGAGCACTTTAACGATAGAATGTGCCTGGTCGAGTTGGTTAGGAGAAGGGAATATTGATATCCGTAAGGCTGCGCGAAGCAGCTCCGTTCAACGCATCTCTGCGGAACAGCATGACACCTGGGACGTTCCCCAAACAAATCGTAGGGAGAGAGTACCTAGGGCAGGGCATACAGGACGAAAGATTGTCACAAACTTCACTTGTGGCTGACCAAAATACCAGTGCGATAGTCATTGGAGTGTGCATTGTTCGACCATGTTTGTCTGCAGCTGTGAGGGGCAGGATGTGTTTGGGTGGAACCGGGAATTCGGGAGCTGGAGCTAGCAAATGCTAGGTGCGTTAAGATACTACATAAACTACCGCCTTAGGTACGGTACCTACCTACCTAGGTACCCAGGTACCTAGTCAGGTATCTAAGGACTTTGGTACACGTACCTAGGTAATCATAAAAGGATGGCCCTTGTACCTACAGGGGCCGCCCCATCCCCGACTGAATCCTTACCTAGCTACCTAGCTAGGTGCCTAGGGTACCTAGGTAAATAGTACGGATACATAGTAGGGACTTTGCAAACGTATCCCAGTACGTGCCTCAACATAGACCTAACGCGGCAATCAAGTGGGAGGAACCTCAAGAGGGACCGCCTCGGATGCTATCTGGACCTTCTCAGCCACCTGTCACGGAACTGGGAGACAACCGCCAAACCACCAGCTTGCTCCCCCTCATAACTGTCGTATGTTCCCATGCCGTAGGTATTTAAACAAAACAAAACCTTGCCAGATTCTTCTAATACCTTGACCAAGCTATACACCCATCCGCATGGCAAGTGACACAATGGGCTCTTTGTTGTCTTTAACAAGTGCCTCGCCAAGTTAACTAGCAACAGAGGTAGGCAGTGTACAGCACCAGCTTAATAGAATCACACAGGTTTAATGTTTCTGACGAGCGGATACAACCTTCCCTTGTCCACATCCGATATCTACTTGTAGTCGTTCTGGCGAACCAGTTCATTCTGGTATCGCCTTACCGAGCGGTCCCTGTTGCCTCACTCACTCTTCATTGTTTATACCACCCAACGTTCCCCGATTCACGCATACATGCTCGAGAGTTCCAACATCATACGGAAGAATGTGGCGCGTTGTACCAACCGCCCCTCCAAGCCACTGGAATCACAAAAGACACACTTTTTATTTGTCTCCTCGGTCTCAGCGGGGCAGTGTCAGGCTGGGCGAGGGGTACTTGCATGGTCAAGGTTAAGGCTATACTGCCTACCTAGGTACCTATTTAGGTAAGGGACTCACCTACCTACCTCGCATAGTATATACCTAAGTGACTAGCACGCTAAAAAAAGTTCATACGGCTGTTGGTGCAGCGTCACATTGAGGAGGGAAAACACCAGCGGCTGAGCTCGCCCCTTCTGGCCGATCATCCCCACTCACAAAGGTACCTTTCCGTTCTCTACCAGCATCAGCCGCCAGACGCGCCCACCGCAATTAGAACAGCCATCTCGGGATCCCGAAAATCCCATCATACACTTCCTGGGCACTGCCTGCGTTGACGTCCCTCGTTCTCCTCCGACCGCCTATTCCTGGCCACGGCAGGCTATCGAACTTGCTCAATACCCAACCGGGACCTTTCTCCAGCATCGATACAGGACCGAATAGTCAGTTGGAGGGGGGTGTGCATGATGCACATGTACCGCCCCCAAACGTCGTAGCGTTGCACTTTCTCGTCTTCTTCAGCGTCTATTATCGTCCCTACAATTTGCTGAATCGCGAAGCCTTGGAAAGCGCCTGCATGCAAAACTGTCAACGTTTAATTAACCCAAACAGCACCTCGGTCAGCCGAGGAGAGAGGTATATGGGCCACAGTCGCTTGGCCGCCTCCGCCCCTCACAAGGCTGGCCGCCTCGTATGGTCTACCTCTTTTACACTCTCTTCACACACTCCACGTTCTGAAGTGTCTCGGATGTCTTGCCTGGTAGGGCTGGAGCGACGTATGCGCCGGTATACTGGGTGTGGGTTGCGTAAGCCATGTCATCCCTACTGACGCGGCACAGTACATACAGCCCCAGCTCCCGCATCCTGCCGCCATTTCCGTTAGAATTGCTAGGCAATACTCCATGTACGCCGTACAACTTTGCCTCGATGGCAGCTTGAATCGAAGATACTTTTCTTTCACAATGTCCGGCATGCTCTTTCGAGTGAATGGGAACAGATGACACAAATTTTTACATAATGTAATACCTGCATCGGAGCCCGCAGCTTCCATGCGCACGCCCCTCCTATCATCTGAGAGAACGGGCCGCCATCCTGAAGATCGACACTGAGACCGAGTCTCCAGCCGCTTCCGCGGCTGTTGAGCAAAGAAACTACCTCGTGCGCATCTGCACTTGGGAGCGTCTGCGGCGATCCGAGACCGGGCCCTGGGTATGCTATGGGGGGTCTCCCGGCGACCTCTCGTATGCGGCGGCCGGGTGACACTGGGCCTAAGGGCGGGACTGTGGCAGTTCGACAAGTCTATCGTAGTGGGGTGTGTATTACTAATCAGAAAGAAGCCTGCTTGCGGCAACTCGTAACCGTTTGGATGTGACCATCCAAAAAAAGGCCCTTGGATGATAAGGATGAGCATCGTAGTGCCAATGAACAATCTACGGTCGAGAGCACGCTGCCTACACCCGGACAGGAGACGACTATGTAGTACTCCGTAAGAGTCCGGACATCTGCCAGCAGCAGACACGCCCTTCATCAGTATGATCCGCGGCGAAGACTTATTCCATACTGACAGTTGTTTTACCGTACACACTGAGAACCCTTCCGTGCCCCTTCCGTGCACCAACGACTTCACCATTGCCTTAGGCCTTGGCCGTCTAATCACCCGAGCAGGTCACATGCACTAGAATGCTAGATGTATTTATGATCAAAACATTTTGGTAATTCATGCCAACTACTTTTCAGGTTACGTTGCCTCTCCATTAATCCCAGACAGCAAATACAATTATTGGCCAAAAGAGCATGCCTTACCAAACCCCAGCCCCTCAGAACAGGAAACAAGACAGATAAGAGCGGCCGGGAGATCCGACCTACTCGGCGTTGGAAGACATGTGGTGCGTAGGCAGCGCCGTCAAGACATCAAAGGCACCCGTGCCGATCTTGCCCAGGCGGCCCATGACGATACGACCACTGGGTGTTCTGAGATCGTCCCAGTCACCATCGAGGACAGCATCCTTCAAGAAGGCCAACGTCGTCTCGAAACTCATCTTGGTAAAGGGGCTCACGTTACCCCGCAGGCCGTTGCGATTGAAGGGCGTGTAGTCACCGTTGCGTGTCATGTAGTCGGCAATAAGGTTCAAGTGTCGGTTGTCGACACTGATGCCGTGGCCACTGAAAACGCCTGCTAATTCGGAGACTATGTTATTTCGGCATGCTTCAACACCGTACACATCGAGCACGGCGCCGATGTCGTTGGTCGCAATCTTGTTGGGGTTGATGAAGTCACCATACTTCTGCATCGCCTTGAGGTTACATCCCGACGTGTAGATAGCTGGCACGGACACATCGTTGCCCGCCGAATCCTTGATCTTGTGATCCGCCGTAAATGTGCATGAACCGACACCAGGTATCTGCTGGATGACCGACTTCTTAACGGCCGCTTGCACAATGTTGAGCATGAGAACCTTGGGAGTGTTGGCCTCGAACTCGAGCGTGAACTCGCACCACTCTCCTGCCTCGTCGTTGCGGAACTTGGTGACGCGAAGATACCGGTCTTTGACGCGCTCAGCTCTCAGAGCACCCTCGTCGCTGTCCACGTCACCGTCACCATCATACTCATCATCTGAGCCATCCTTGTCTGTACGCGGCGGCGGGCTGCCTTCGAAACCTTCGTCTTCTTCGGGAGAGTTCTCGCGCTCCATCTGTCGCTGGATTGCGTCATCCTCGTCGTCGTTAGGGCCATACGACACAGCCTCTTCTCGATTCGCTTTATTCTTGGCATTCGTGGCGTCGTTGTCGCCATCGTCGTCATCTTCGTCGTTATCGTCATTGGCAGCTCTTGCCTCGCCGTTGCCAGTCGCCATTTCCACGACGCCAGCCTTGACACCGACATCGGGGGTCGCCGAGGTGGACTCGCTACGGCGCTTCTTGATCTCGCGGACCATGATCTTCAAGAGGTGGTCAAGGAAGCGCTTCTCAATCGTGTCCATAACATCGCTTGTGTCAATGGCGTAGGCCTTGGTATACTCGTTGGCGGGGAAGAAGTTGAGTCGCACGTCGTAGAGCTTGGCCAGAGCACCGTTGTTGCCCTTGCCGATGCGCTCATTCACGATTGCTGTGTCAAGCACGTCAGCCAGGGGCAGGACGCTGATCGACTTTGCAAACACTTCTCCCTCAGCCGCGGAAAGCTCCTCGTGAAGGAGAAGATTCATGGCCGGGGTGGAGATGGATCGGCTCGCCGTCATAAGGATTTCGCGGAGACGAGGGATACCGAGCGTGACGTTCTTTGCCGAGTGGCCAGCCAAATGGAAGGTGTTAAGCGTCATCTGCGTCGAGGGCTCTCCCACACTCTGTCCAGCAACAATACCGACGCCTTCACCCGCCTCGACAAGCGATCGCATGTACTTGGCAGCGAAGACAAGCTCTGCTGACTTTTTGCTGACGGCAGGGGCATTGATCAAGCCAGACGAGACAGCTGACTTATCGCGAATGAGGCCGTCCTCGTTGTCCTTAATGTACTTGGTCATTTGTTCGTAGAACTTCTCCGACGTGGCGAACGCCACTCTCGCTGGATTGACCATGGAGATGATAGGATCCTTGGCTGCAGCACTGTTGAGCTTGGCGTGCTTGATGGCACTCTTCATGTGCTTAAGGATTTCATCCTTGCTGCCGGCAAGCTTCTCCTTGAAGCCATTGCTGAAATTGAGCTGGGCTGACTCAGACCCAACGTTGCGGAGAACGAAGCTGAAGTCAGTGAGGTATTTCTGCTTGGTCGGGTCGAGGCCGTCTTCGCCGTAGAGGAACTGCACGAGGGTACCATCCGCATCTCGCACCGTCGAGTCGTAGGTCACCGTCAATCCCTCCATGCCCTTAATGATACATCTCTGCAGATAACCTGAGCGAGAAGTCTTGACGGCTGTGTCGATAAGACCTTCACGACCAGCCATGTGATGGAAATAGTACTCTTGGGGTCGGATACCGGTCAAGAACCGTTGAACGATGTAGCCGCCGGCACGGACATCCGTCTCGAAGGGCTTGAAGCACGGCAAAGACTTTCCGCTAACCATGAGAGGAACTCTTCTACCCTCAAGAACTTGCTGTCCAAGGTTACAAGAGATGAGATTTGCGTTGACTTGACTACCCTTGGCACCGGAAGTTGTCATCGACTGCATCTGGTTCTTGGGGAACTGCTTGACCAAGCCGACGGGCAGACAAGCCGTCGTTACAGCACTTGAAACCATGCCGGAGCTTTGATTCATGAGCATATCGAGACCCTCCTGCTTGGTGTCGTCTCGCATGACCTCCTCCAGGCGAATGAGAAGCTCCGGGTCTGTGCTGTTGGGCGCCTTGTCCTCAAGTGAGACATACTTGGCCGCGACCTCGAGGCCAATAGTTCTGGCTGCCTTTAAAGCCTCCCGCCGAGCCTGTTCGCCTTCGGACGTGAGTCGCAAATCATCCATACCGCAAGTGAAGGCCCGCATGTTCAAGTATCTGGTAAGGAGTCGTCCCATGCCACTGAGCAGCTTGCCTGCGACGGCAGGTCCATAGATTTCGTGGATGGAATGGATGAGGCCTCCCGAGCTGGGGCCTAGATGGGCCTTGTCGAGGATGCCTGTCAAGAACTGTCCGTCTTGGAAAAGGACACTGCCTTCCTCCACATGACTCTTGCCCCACTGTTCGCCCTTGACTTGACATTTTCCGGCCATCCAAAGACCTTCGCCGTTGGGTGGCTTGATGTTTTTGAGTATTGTGCTGATGACCTGTTTTCCTGTCCATCGGGGCCTGGGCTTGATTACTGCGGGGGGGAGAAGCTCGATCCTCTCGCCAAGAATGTGGCCGCTCTCTGGACGGAGGGCCGAGTAGATGAGCTGTTGATACGAGTCACGGTCGAAGAAGGTGTCCTTGTTACAAAGCGCAACGGAAACCGAAAGATGGTCCTGAATCAAACCACGGAGAGGTTTACCAGCCGTGCCCGACAAATATTGATGGTCCGTGTCGGCAATTTGCAGAGCCTCTGCTCTAGCAACTTCATTTTGTGGGAAATGCATGTTCATTTCGTCACCGTCGAAGTCGGCGTTGTACGTGTTACAGTTGGCGTAGTGCATGCGAATGGTCTTCTCTCCGGGCAACACACGGACACGATGGCCCATTATGGACGGCTTGTGCAGCGTCGGCTGACGGTTCATCAAGACGACGTCGCCGTTTGTCAGGTGCCGGTACACTTTTTTGCTCTTCATACCGCTCATTTGGTTGTTGGTTGGCGCGAGAAGTTGGTTCGCGAGGGATACACGGTCGTCCACAGACTTGGACCGAAGGTTGACAATTTGTCCATTCTCATACTCGATGGCAGCCGCTCCGGGCCACTTGTCAACGCCATTGATGACCGCTTGTTGCATGTCTCTGAAGTTGTGACTCGTCACCGGCTCGGGGTAAGTAAGTTTGCGCGCGAAGACGGGGGGCACACCGATCTCGTTGGTTTCGATGTTTGGGTCAGGCGAAATAACACTTCGGGCTGCGAAGTTGACTCGCTTTCCCATCATGTTCTTTCGGAAAAGGCCCTCCTTCTTCTCCAGCTTTTGCTTGATGCCATCCTCGTTCCTCTTGGCGGCTGCGCCTTGGACAGGGTTCTTGCTCTTGTCGATCAGCGAGTTGACGGACTCTTGTAACTCTGTCCATACTTGATGCAAGTCGGTGATGTCTCTCGGTCGTCCATACTGGTCTGTAGCTCCGACGCTTTGATGTATCCTCGCAATGTTCCCGCAATTCCGCATGATCATCTTGTACAGGGAGTTCTGCTGGGCCTCGGAGATTTGAGAGTCGCCAGTTCGAGCTTCGGGCCGGAACTTGTTCGGCGGGACAAGGATGGTTCGGATGAAGAACATATCTGCAGATACTTTGGCGGATTTCTTGGTCATCGGTTTCGAGCTGTACACCAACGACATGATGTCTTGCTCCTTCTCGAATAGCTCCCGCAGTCTTGCGCGAACCTCCATTGCGCTGATATAGCGCTGCTGGCCGGGGGCGACGGCGACGGCATCGACTAGTGATCCATCTTCCTTATCCGCCAAGTCCTGCTCGTCATCACTAGCATCGCGCATTTCAACATCATTTTCTTCGGCTGAAGTCATGTCAATGTCAGCGACGCCTTCATCGGCATCGACAGCATTCCGCTTTGACTTGGATTTGCGGACGCGGGCTGCTGTTGCCATGGAGTCTTTGACGTGAAGATTTCTCTGGGCCATCTGAGCAAGATCCCTCTCGCTGAGGGCCTTTTCGAAGATCTTGACGAAGCGGTCTTTACGGTAGGCGGGCGATATGCCGCCGCAATTGTCGCATCGCCGCGGTTTGGTGATTTGCGTCAAGAAGTCCTTGATAAGCTCCCTGCGCATCTCTATAGCGCCTTCATGTTTGCCCTTCCTCACTTCCCCAAGACTAAGCTTGTGCGACTTGAGAGCCTGACGGACGTAGGCTTCCCTCGCACCGATGATGTTGTCGACAGAAGAAGTTCCTTCTTCTTCGGCCTCGCTCTCATAGTCAGTGGGCACACCGGGCAGGGCGAGACCCTTGAGCTCTTCGCCAATGGCGTCAACGAGGTGGGCCTCGTGGAGGAGACCGTGTTGCAGGAGTCGGAGTTTGCACGAGTAGCGGTTGATTTCACGATGGCGCATGCGAAAACCTTTGCAGTAGACACATTGCGATCGCAGAAGACGAAGAACCTGGTCGAGAAAGATTGGGTGGTAGACAGGAACGGGTAGCTCGATGTGACCGGCGTGGCCCGGGCACGAAGATTGATTCAAGTTGCAGGTGGCGCAGCTATGAAGGATGTAAGTCATTTGAGGCGAGGAAGAGGGCAATTGCAGGCGTTTGCGTACAGAGCATCGCCCCATGATCCAAGAGCCGGGTCGTAGAGACCGCCAGGAACGGGGTTGAGGAGGTTGTCAAACGTGCTGTCGTTCTCAATGCGCTTGACGGAGATAGCCTTGATTTCTTCGTCGGTGAGGAAAGTGAACTCGACCGTCTCGATGGACGACGAGATGGGTTGGGAGATGTTCATGGTGCCGGCGAGGCTTCAAAGAATGAGCCTGACACCAGTCTGGATCCGTACAGAAGGCGAGGCGGAAAGGAGCAAATTTTCCATCCAGCGTCGGGTACAAGACGGCTGTCGATCGCAAGAGCAACAGGACCGGGGCGGACGGTCGAGAGCAGCAGCACCCGGACGATGAGAGACCGAGGGGAACTTTTTTTTAGCGGTGGCAGCCGGCAGAAAATCGGAGGACCCACCATTGGTGTCCTTTTTTTTTTCTTTTTGGTTTCCCGTCTATACTCCGTACAGTAATAGGCACTGCACCAGGCTCTAAGGCAGGACAGCACCAGCCACTCACACTAGGTACCTACACAGATCGATCCACTGCAGAAGCCAACAAACAGGGTAATCTAGATAATCAACCTACACTCTAACAAGCAAACGCGTACCTCTGTCTGCCCCCAGAAGCCCACGACAGTCATCACCATCGCAACACCTTTCCGCCTAGAATTCCTTCTCCGAGTCAATCTGCTCCTCCACGTCCTCAGCAGGTATCCGTCCACATCGACACGCTTTGCGTCTGCTGTTTCACTGTGTGACCGACCACCTCGACGACGGCCTCGCTCGCGTTGCAGACCCAAGCTGCTCATCACTACTGCAAGCGGTGTCTCTCTCTAAATCGCATAATTCTTTTGTGATTCCTGATTAGCTGGGAGGCTTTCCCGTCGATCACTTCGAAGCCCTTCGGCATCTCTTCTGCATCACCACGATGGATCGGCGGCCAGACTCGACGGGCCTTGGGCCTCGCCATGATCCGAATTCCCGAGTGTCCAAGCCAGAATCGGCCGCTGATAAAATGGCTGCACTCAAAGCAAGAGTCGCTGCAGCGATCGGAGGTACCAAAGCAAAGGGGGGTCTCAATGTCGGGTTGCACCCAGTACTTGAGAGCCTCAGCCAGGCAAAGCCTCTGGGCAGAACAAGCGATGTGAAGCCATCGGGCATCCGGTCACAATTTGAAACCAGCTCAGCGAATTCGTCTGGCTACAGAACGTCAGATGCGTCAGGGCGCAATCGCAACGGCACGCAATCGAATCCGTACTTCAACGAGCAACTAGCAGCACAGCCAGCAGGCGGTAAACAACGACAGGCTAGGCCGCTACACTTCCACCCGAAGGGCAAGTTCATACAGCAAGCCGCCGCGCTGCGGCGGCAGGTTGCCTTGGAGGAAATGAAGAAACGAATTGCCGCACAGACCAGGAAGGCCGGTATTGAGGATGAAATGAATATGGAGAAAAACCTCGTTGTCGAGGCCCCTCCCGATATCGAATGGTTCGATGAAGGACTGGTGGATGGCACATATGAAAACATCGAAGATGAGTCACGTCTCAAGCTCGACAAGGAAGACACCATCGTCACTGAGTACATCCAGCACCCCGTCGCGCTGGAGCCACCACAGGAGAAGAACACGCCGGCCGTGAAGCCGATGTACCTGACGTCGAAAGAGCAGAAAAAGCTCAGGAGACAGCGAAGAATGGCGGAGCTCAAGGAACAGCAGGCAAAGATCAGGCTTGGGTTGGTGCCGGCACCGCCTCCCAAGGTGAAGAAGAGCAATATGATGCGTGTCTATGCAGATTCGGCAGTGAAGGACCCGACGGCAGTGGAAAACCTAGTCAACCGGCAAATTGCGGAACGCCAGCAAAACCACTTGCAGGCCAACGAGGAGCGCAAGCTGACCAAGGAAGAGAAGCACGACAAACTCGCTGCAAACCAGGAGAAGGATGCCGCCAAGGGTATCCACGTATTGGTTTTCAAGATTAACAGTCTGGCGAACGGCCAGCACCGGTTCAAGATCCAAAAGAACGCCGAGCAGTACGCCCTTACAGGGATCTGCGTCATGCATCCCAAGATGAACCTTGTCGTCGCGGAAGGCGGCGAGCACAGCATACGCAAGTACAAGAAACTCATGTTGGATCGTATCGACTGGACAGAGAACACGCCATCGCGGGAGGGCAAGACACAGCAACAGGTGCGCGAGTGGCTGGTGGCGGAGAATGAGAGGGGAGACCTCAAGGACATGTCGCACAATGAGTGTAAACTGGTATTTGAGGGCGAAGAGAAGACGAGGGCGTTCCGCAAGTGGGGGAACAAGGTCTGTGAATCTGATGCTGAGGCTAAAGACGCGTTGGCCCGGGCCAAGATGGAGAATTTTTGGGCGCTTGCGAAGAGTGTCTGAGAGACCCTGGGGGCGAGATACGATAACCCCGGAGCTTCGCTGGATGTGATGGGATATTGATGAGATGGATCGGAAAACAAACACACTCCCTCTCATCCCTGATAACTGGCTCGATGGGAGGGTTATTACAGCGTAGGCGCATCTTGTAGTTCGACCATACGACAAGGAACTTGCCAGAACACCGTCTCTATCCGAGACACAGATGCAATTAGCGGAGTGATTTTGGGGCTAACCGATGAGACTATTTATGGGAAACTCCAAAGCGGGCTGGTCAGTGAGGCTATTCTCAGCCCTGCTGATTTAGACTGGACAGATGCCTCTTTGATTTAAAACCAAGGCAAGCCAACCCCCGTGAGCGTGACCAAGAGGTTCCGGTCAGACTCAGCCCGCCCGGTACGAGAAGGCATTCAACCCAAACACAAACGTGATGAGATGTCAGCGGTATGGATGGCGTCGCCCGCGCCGCACAAGCTCTGCCAAATGGACAGGCTATTTTTCTGCCTCTGTCCAAAATTGCTAGATTAATGGGCGATCATAAACGTGCAAAGTCTTGCGATACGACGCAACGAGAGGCCAAGTGTTAGCTTGTTTGCGCAGTGCTTTGAGTGCCTATCACCTGTATAATATGGATGGGAGGAAATAGAAAGAGACAGAAAGCACGTAATATTGTAACATTGTTCGATTTATATTGTCTGACTGAGTCTAACCTCCACTTCTCCAGCCGACTTCGAAGCAGGGGAATGGATGTGCTCTCATAGGATCGCATTGCTAATCGCTGATGGTCAATATGCATCGGGTACTCTGCCCAAGCAATACCAAGAGGTCCGCCCATGCAAGGCTGGCTACGCCGGCTCCATCATATGGAATCGGGTGTTGGTGTCGGGACGATGTGCCTGAGAGCAGAGCGAATGTATCATCACAAGTAACGAGTGGAATAGATAGTGTTCATGTGTTTGCCATTGAATGCAGCCATCCTTTACTGCTGTGTAATGTACAACCCTTGCGTTATTCTTCAACGCATTGTAAACGCCAGATTACCCCCAAAGCCAAGACGGTCCATTCGTCAAGCATTCCCAAACGCGAGTCGTAAACCACCCATGAAAAGAGAAACCCAAAATACGAGGCGCTTAGTTGCGCTCACCGCGAAGGCGGCGGGCAAGCTGGATGTCCTTGGACTGGATGGTGACACGCTTGGCGTGAATGGCGCAAAGGTTGGTGTCCTCGAAGAGGGAGACGAGGTAAGACTCGACCGACTCCTGGAGGGCACCGATGGCGGAGGACTGGAAGCGGAGGTCGGACTTGAAGTCCTGGGCAATCTCACGAACCTATGAAGAGTGTTAGTTGGTGTGTTGTCGCACTAGGACGAAATGGTCTTACCAGGCGCTGGAAGGGGAGCTTGCGGATCAGAAGCTCGGTGGACTTCTGGTAGCGACGGATCTCGCGAAGAGCGACGGTACCAGGCTTGTAGCGGTGAGGCTTCTTGACACCTCCGGTAGAGGGGGCGCTCTTGCGGGCGGCCTTGGAAGCAAGCTGCTTGCGAGGAGCCTTGCCACCAGTGGACTTACGGGCGGCTGTGGGGTAACGAGTTAGTAAAATGCGGCGATAAGATCGAGAAGGTGAAGCTGCTTACTCTGCTTGGTGCGGGCCATTGCGACTGTGTTGTGGGGGATAAAAGTTGATGGTTTTGATTTGATGTTGATGAGGTTTGGTCGGTTCCTGAATGTGGATGGATTGTGAGTGGATGTAGAAGAGAAGGTTGAGGAGTGGGTGGAGGGTGGAGGGAAATAAATAGGTAGGCAACTGGGCTGGCGGCAGAGGGGAGTGATTGTGCGCCAAAAGGAGGGTGGCCTGTGCGTGCCTGCCTTGTCCGCGTGGGTGCGTAGGAAAATGCCGTTTGGGCAGGCGCGATCTCTTTGCAAAAAGACGGGTGCAGTAGGCGGGATTTGGGGCTTGGTTGTTCAAAGGAACGAATGGCTGAATTTTGATTGGTTGGAAATCTTGCAATATCTGCGACGCCACCCCATCTTTTCCTCCCAAGCACTCGGCAGGGGAGGTACGTACCCTTGGCTAGCGACCCCTGCGGCCCACTTGTAGCGCAATCGAGCGTGTGTCACTGTCAGTGTCTGCAGAGACGCGGTCTGCAGTGTCTTTCCCCTCCTGAGTTACCCATGCGGCACGAGGTGTGTCCATCAAAGTTTCCGCCTTCTATTCCCTGTCTGTGAGAAATGCGGGACGCAGTACCTGCCTCATCTACTCGACGCGACTGCTTTAAGCAACAAGTACGGAGTAGTGAGACTTGTATCCGGTAGTGTTCATCAAACGCGGTGCTCGTCTTACGCGTCATTTTTACAGTTGATGGTTTTTTTTTTTCTCAATAGGAAGAGAGGAAGAGTCCAGATCGCTATCATTCCGTTAGGGTCACTGCTGTTGCGTATTTGCTCAATCTACTTCGCTTAGCCTTACTTGGTTCATCTTGATTGCTATTGCCGCCTGTCGAACGCCCTTTAGCAAGTGAAAGTTGACCCGTCCTCTTTTTCCCTTCCCAGGCCATTTCTTCCCTCTTCGGTGGCAGGGAATTCGGCAACAAATCCGGTTGCGTCAAAACGCGACGCGGTAACGAGGTGCATCTCACACCCCGTACGCGACTGATGGGGCCGAGGCTAGATGCTGGGTCTCGGACTAGTTGGGCCAGTGAGTGGCACCAACGATCGATATGGACCACCACGACCACGATGAGCCCGGACATGCAAAGTCACATTGCCAAACGGACCCTGTTCACGCTCCAACTGCGAGCAACGCGTGAATGTCCACATGTTTGCAAAGTACCTACATAAGTTGAAGAGGCAGGCGGCTCGGACGATTCGACTGAGCAGACCCTATGTGCCGACTCTGAGGTGGTTTTCGCTCTTTCTCTTTCTCTTCCTCTCATCCACATGGTGTTACATGTCGCCCTGACGCATCCGTTAACCCCAAGCAGCAAAGGTGATCCAGCATCCAGTTGCCATTCAACTGCCGCACACGCGATACAGCGAAGCTTAGGTCGTCGTCGCTATCTCGAGCCTGGTATAGGCACCGAGTATCGCGCAATGTGCTTGATGTGATTTATAAATAAGGCCAATATCAAACAACTGTGGCTCTATGGTTTGTGAAAGGCCCGCTTCCTGTGTGTACGTTACCTAATCCAAGAGCTGTTGTTACAGTCCAACGATGAGGCGACGGATGGCCATGCCCTAGATCCCAGCCACCAAAGCACCCGCTCTGTGTCATTCTGCTCTGGGCTGAAAAGGAACAACCAGGGTGCAAAGTAGTTGTTACTAGTCACAATGCCTGGAAGACTCAAAGTTGGTTGGCCAAAGAGCAAGGCAAGCTAAATGTGTACGGTAAGGCGACGACAGTTTCCATACTTACACTAGTAGGTACTGTGGCAGAGTGGGTAAGATTATGGTTGAGAAAATGGGGAGGGATCTTGGTTGGCTGCGTAAATCATTCCATCCCCTGTTACAACCTGATGTTGCTGGTCTGTGCCTTTCCGAAAATGGGCACATTGGTTTGTTTTTCATTTTCACCTGCGCGTCGCGACAGGGTGATCCAATCTGAGGTACGTACCCGCTTTTCCTGGCTGATCCCAAAGCTCACCTGTCCCACGCACTTTTGATATAAATCCCTTCCCCCCTCTGCGCGTCAGTAGCGGTGCCTACTCTCGTTATCCAGCCCTACGTTATCTCAACCTAAACAACTCCTTCCCACGCGACTCTTTCCCCTCCTCCCCATATCATCTCCAACTTCCACCTCAGACACTTTTCAAAATGACTGGACGTGAGTGTTAACCCCGCATTTAGACTTCCCTCCTGGCACATGCGCTGACACTCACTTCTATAGGCGGCAAGGGCGGCAAGGGTCTCGGCAAGGGCGGTGCCAAGCGCCACCGCAAGATTTTGCGTGACAACATCCAGGGTATCACCAAGCCCGCTATCCGTCGTCTCGCTCGTCGTGGCGGTGTCAAGCGTATTTCTGCCAGTAAGTTGCATCGTTGTAGTGCCTCTGCTCTCCAGATGTCTAACGTGAATCTTCACAGTGATCTACGAGGAGACCCGCGGTGTCCTCAAGTCCTTCCTCGAGGGTGTCATTCGTGACGCCGTCACCTACACTGAGCACGCCAAGCGCAAGACTGTTACTTCTCTGGACGTGGTCTACGCGCTCAAGCGCCAAGGCCGCACCCTCTACGGTTTCGGTGGTTAAGCGTTGTTTTCTTGTATGTCTGTTACGAATCTTTCTTGGGCCATGACGCGATCCACCCCGCGGCGCGGTGGCACAAACGGACTTAGGGAGTGGAGTGTTTTGTCATGAATGACTATGGGTTTGGCTGGCTTTGGGTGTTATACTGTACCATACGGGAAACAATGGGGTTCTACATGGATGGCTTGATTAGCTTGTGACATAATCAATCCCTCGCTGGGGCACGTTTTGATCAAGCTTGCATCTTTCGGGCATTGCTGCTGTTTTGGTTCTGTGGTATGCAGTGCGTGTGTGCGTATGACGTCCCACAGCCTAGGGCGTGTCTCGTGGTATATGTGCTATCTCCGTTTAGTTGCCTTGTTAATGATGGGCTGCACTGCTTTTCATAGCAACTGTCTCGTTCATGACATGTCGGCTGGGCGTCTTGGCTCTGCTGGTCCCTATGTGTGAGTCATAGTGTCTGTACCCAACCCTGGCTTCAAGCGATTTGATGTCTTGGCACTGCCAACTCGGTCGTTTCCACTCCTGTATATGTCGCTGTCGCGCATGACACCGGGTATGGTTGGTTGTCTTGTCCGGTGTGTCCATGTCAAGTGTCATCATGCCGGGAACTTTCTCCGAGATCGAGTGGCAAGCATGGTGTCCATCACGACAATGTGCTGTCTGTTGGGAGGTTCTCTCGTTGTCCATTGTTCCTAGTGTTCTAGGTTCAACGGCATTGGCTTACATTCATGTTAAGATTTGACAAAGTAAGCAGCCTCCGT